GAAAACAGAAAACAGACTGGTGGGGAGGGGAGGGGTTAAAGCAGAGCTCATCACAGATGCGGCTGGGACGTGGTTCACAGCTACGCGTGGTAGTAGGGATCTGGGTCACCTTGGCAGTGAGGACGGCAGCTGCTGAGGGGACATGAAGAGCAGCATCAGGATGGTGGGACCTGGGGCAGGAGTACAGTGCAGCTGATCAGTGTGGGGCTGTCCCAACTGGTGGGGAGGGGAGGGGTTAAAGCAGAGCTCATCACAGATGCGGCTGGGACGTGGTTCACAGCTACGCGTGGTAGTAGGGATCTGGGTCACCTTGGCAGTGAGGACGGCAGCTGCTGAGGGGACATGAAGAGCAGCATCAGGATGGTGGGACCTGGGGCAGGAGTACAGTGCAGCTGATCAGTGTGGGGCTGTCCCAGGCTGCGCAGTCGGTTGGCTGTCTTTGTTATCCTTGGGTCCTTTCTGGGCGTCTGAAATGCTTGGGAATTTTGAGGGGTTTTGTTTTTGTTGTTCCAGTACTGGGGATGGAACCCAGGGCCTTCCCACTGAACTACATCTCCAGCCCTTTTAAAACTGTTTTTACATTTTGAGACAGGGTCTCGCTATTTTGAGACAGGGTTCGAACTTGGGGACCCTCCTGCCTCAGCTTCTTGGCATGCTGGGCTGGCAGGAGTGCACCACTGCACCCAGGTTTTGGGAGGGGTCTCAGCACCCAGCAGCACACAGCCACTTCCTCCGTCCCCATCCAGCTGCTGCCTGGGGTGCAGGGCCTCTCCCTCCCAGGAGGCGGATGCTGGAGCGCAGTGAGGGGTGCAGGATGGGACAGTCACAGCCCCAGTTCACAGGAGGTGCCCAACGCACAGCAGCCTCTGCAGGGAGGAAGAGCTGCTGTGACTCCAGAGTCCCCGGCTGTGAAGGGAGGCCGAGGCTGAGGCCAGGCCCAGGGTGTTGGGGTGGGGGCACCTGGCTGACCATTTGGAAACATCTGGAGTTCAGGGACAGCCAGCCCCTCTGGGTGTGGTTCTGAGAAACAGGAGAGGCTGAGCTGCACACTCATGATCCCAGGACTCGGGAGGCTGAGGCAGGAGGATCACTGTGAGTTCAAGGCCAGCCTGGGCTACATGTACAACCTTGTCTCAAAACAAACCAGAAAAACAATGAAAAAGAAGCAGGAGAAGGGACCAGGCCGTATGTCCACATCCATACGTCCTTGGGCATCAGGGGCTCCGGTTTCAAGTGGGCCAGCGGCTCTCAGAGGAGCCTAGACCCCCAGGTCTAGAAGCTCCTGTGCTGCTGGGAATCACAACCCCCAGAGTTCTGTGCGGAGCACGCAGGGAAGGTGCATCCCACAGGACCGGAGTGGAGGTGGTGTGGCCTCAGCCATGCTGTGTTTGGGACACAGCAGAAGCCTGGCTGGGTTCACCTGAGGCCCGCAGAGCAGCAGCCAGGGCAGCGTGAGCTGCATGCAGCCAACCAGGAAATAAGGGACATGGGGTCCCAAGCACCGGCCAGCAGCCTGAGGACACGGGCCCTCCCGGGGCCTGGCCGGGCACCCCTGGGGATCGCTCCAGGGGACAAACTTCTCCCCACACAGACTGATTGCAGAGGACCCCGAAGGCGGCCTCTTCACTGTGACTCTGTTCCGGAGAGTGATGGACGATTTCAAAACCAAAGCCAAGGAGAACAAGTAAGGCTCTGGCACTACAGGAAGACAGCGGAATGGGCAGTGTGTGTCCCCTTGTGGGGAAATTCTGTCCCCCTGGAAGATTCTTTGTTTCTTTCTCTCTTTCTCTTTTTTGGTACCGGGGATTGAACTCGGGTCCTTGCGCTTGCAAGGCAGGACACCGAACCGCTGAGCTAAATCCCCGGCCCTGTTTTTTCTTTTTTTGAGACAGGGTCTTGCTACATAGTACAGGGTGGCCTCCAACTTGCATTGATCCTCCTGCCTCAGCCTCCTGAGGGCTCCGGAAGCATCCTGTGACCGTCATTGTTTGTTTCTTTGCAGGTTCATGGTTCGTGAGTTCTACTATGATGAGAAAGAAATCAAGAGAGAGAGGGAAGAGATGACCAGGCTGCTGTCGGACAAGAAGCAGCAGTACGTGAGTAGCCAGGCAGGGGCTGGGTGATCGTGCTATATCAGCAGTGCTGCCAGGAGCCCTCCTGGGTACTCCATCTCCCTTGTACCCTGGGCTCTCTGGGAGCCGCCGGAGCTGTGTCTGGGGATTGTGTGACACCACAGCCCGCTTGGGCCCTGCCCCTGGAAGGGTTTGTCACCTGCAGTTTGCCCGGGGAACCAGCGAAAGCATCTGTGCCAAGTGGGCAGTGCGGCCTCTGACCGCATTGGCTGTGTGGCTCCTGGGGTTCACAGCACCTGTGTTTACCGCCCCAGCATTCTCAGAGGGGAGCGGATGCTTATCTGTGCCACTTGCGGCCACAGCCACTTACACACTAATAGGGAGGGGGGCGGGTGAGCAGGCAGCCGAGCTCATGAGGGAGCGAAACTGGATGCTCTTTTTTTGTTTTTTGAGACAGGGTCTCACTATGGAGCCCAGGCTAGCATGGAGCTCACGGTGACCCCCCCTGCCTCAGCCTCCTGAAATGACAAGCAGGTGGCACCAGGCCCGGCTGGATGCCTATTTTTGAAGCACGAACAGCATAGTTTGGGGATAGTCTCTCAGCAACTCCCAGGAGTGGTTTTCAGCCCCTTCTCCCTGGGCCCCTGGGAGGCTCTCAGAAGAGAGCAGGGAGAGGAGGGTACACAGGTGGAAGGCGCTCAGTGTCCCTAGAAAGTGGCTGCGCAAACAGACCCACCAGGATGAGTTGGGACAAGGGCAGCTGGAGTGCTCCCGGCAGTGGCCGAGTGTTTGCTGGGTCCCCTCGGGACGCACATGTCTGCCTCCAGCTCTCTGTATGGCTGGGCCCTGTGGAGAAGCCCGCGCCTCAGGAGGGTGCCCCACCCGGGGGCCTGACAACAGGTCCTTCCAGGGACTTTTCGTTGTTGCTACAGTATTGTGGTACTGGGGATTGAACCCAGGGCCTTCGCACTGAGTTACATCCCCAGCCCTTTTTATTTTTCCCTTTGAGACAGAGTCTCTTCAAATTGCTAAATTGATCAAGCTGGGTTTGTACTTGTGATCCTCCTGCCTCAGCCTCCCGAGTAGCTGGGATTACAGGTGTGCACTGCAGGGCCCCGCTCTAATGGGGGGACTTTGACCCCCCCCAGAGCATACACATGCAGAGACTGTTGGGCTGAGGCTCTCGGGGATGAGGGGCGCTGTGCCCTTGGGTGTCCCATCCTTGGAGAAGAGTGGCAGCCCAGTTCCTGCCCAGCTTCCCTTTACCGCAGACCTTCCTGATCCCAAGCCCTGCAGGGGTCTTCAGAGGGGACAGGTGGTAAACTGAGCCCTCAGGCGCCCCACTGCCTGAACCCTGCAGGCCAGTGCCACACAGGAGCCCACTGCTTGCCACATGGGGTGACTGGCTGGCAGGGTCTGGGGGGCTTCCTGGAGGGGGGAAATGGACCCTTGGACAGCTGGGGGCAGCCCCATGCCTGTGTCCTGAGACGCTGTCCCCCTTTGGCTTGGCTGGAAGCCGACACAGCCTAGCACCTCGCATCCAGTCTTTAGGGTGGGTTTCTGAGCCAGCTCTTGCTTGCTGTGTAGCCCAGGCTGGCCTCGATCTCACGATCCTCCTGCCTCAGCCTCTGGATTACACCATGTACCACCATCGTGGCTTCCTGCGTCCTTGTTACCTGGCAATGGAAGTGCTGGGCTAGGTCCCAGGATTGGGGGGAGCGCCCCCTATCGGAGGGATGGGGAATGGCCACACGGCCTGCCGGCGGGGGCGCTCTCTGCATGTGGCACACACAAGCACTGGTGACTGCACTGTGGCTGGGTGTGGCAGCGACACCATGACCACCCAGGTGCCTGCCTGGTGCCCGGGACGGGTGTCCGGAGCCAGGCCAGGCAGGGAGCAGGTGAGGGTCCAGAGCCAGCGCCAAGGCTGTGGCCACCTGAGTTTCCTTCCTGGGGCTGCAAGAATGACTCTGTGTATTGTGATGTGTGTTTGTTGGACGATTAATAAACCATTTCTGCACCTTTAGCAAAATTCCTGTGTTGCTCTTAAAAAGGGATCATCCATCTACCGGGACCACAAAGTTAAGGGAGCTCCGCTAGGGAGCCCCGCTAGGCTCGCTGCGGGGCAGCCGGACAGAGAGAGAGAGAGTGAGGGCGAGGGCGAGGTAAGCAGCCCTCCAGGAGCCTTGGGTCCCGGCTCGCATCTCTGCCATGCAGGTGTCTTCGGTGCGTCACATCTTTGCACTTCCGGTGTCTCCTGGGGCTTTGGAGGCTCACATTCCAGGAGCGGGAAGCTCGCCTTCTCCAGGGTCGCCCTCCTGCAGGGATCGGTGCTTGCCAGCCGGGTGCCTGTGCCTGGGCCGCGGTGGCTAGAGCTGGTGACAGGCAGGCCCCGCTCCTGGGCTGCCCTGCTCTGCCCTGCCCTGCCCTTGCTGGCGGCTGCTCCAGGGCACTGGCACATGCAGCAGCCCGTGCCTCCTGTGGGGCTGGGCTCCTCTGCTGTCCGAGTCGCGTGGAGTCCTTGAGATGCCTGTAACAGACAGCTGAGCCCTGCCGGCCGCCACCCTGGGCC